TATTATTAATTTAATATATTTTGTATTATATTAGTAATTTCTATTACCGGAAAATGCCAAATTTATGAGCACATTTGCTGTAATTAAATTGTCCATGAACCTCTTCCATTTTGCTTGTGCATCTTCTGCATGAGGGGTACCACCACTCATCTATAATTGAGACCACTGTAGCATATATCCAAATATCGGTTTCCTACATTTACAAATGTACTATTTCAGCTATGTTTTCATCAAATAGAAGTGGCACATAAGTAATTGTATTTAAATATACCTCAGCAGTCTCATAGAGTAAGTCAACAAAACTGACAACATCACCATCAGCTAATTCTTGAAGTTCAGATTTCACAACAACAGAATTCTTTGAAATTAACCGGGCCCTTCGAAGTGGGCCGACCGCATCCCTATATAAGATAAAAAAAGTTATAATTTTTTAATGATCTATTATTATATATATAACTATTGAATATTATAATAATTCAAAGTAGGTTTACCTATTGCGAAAGTCCACAATATGTGGAACATTTTCGCCAGCAATTAGCCTCGTTATATCCTTTGATGAGGTTACTTGCACTTTATCTGTTTATGAAGAAATAATGTAATTTAACCACTTTTGGATAAATTGAAGACATTAAATTTTATATACCTGCCCATGCTCTCGAACGCCCTAATTGAATTATCAAAGTTCATGGATTGTCGTGGGCAAGTTTATTCTCAAAGTTCAGGAATTGGTCAACATATGTCCCCCATAGTTTGCATGGCATAATGTTTCCCCTAATTTTTAATTTAAACAAAAAATGTATTATCATAAATGTGAAAGTAATATTTACATTACAATATTATACATGAATAGTAATATGTAGGTGTAAGTTAAAATATTACTCCGGATCCATTAGTGAGAATGCAATCATGCGAGCTTATACTCCTTTGACATTCTTCAATTGAATTGGATTTATCTCGACCACCATCCCAATGACATCTAAACATGTGTTAAATATGAGAAATTATTATTTATCATGAAAATTCTAAAACAAATAATTTAAAAAAGGGAAAATGCGATTACCAAATAGCATTGATTTTTCGATCTTCTCGACATCAGTTAGTGTGATGAACCTTCGAAAGCCGAAACGGTAATTTGGAAAATCACCTTGTAGCTTATGTGTTAAGTTCTACCATATAAGATAAGCCTGCATTGGGCAATGGTGGATCTTTACATTCCAATATTACTCTCGACCTGATAGTTTCGAAGTGCATAGACAACTCCTTCTTGGAATTCATTGATGAAAGTTGGGATGTTTACTGCTCTTATTATTCCAGTAATTCGACCGCCCTGAAAAAAAAAAATCAACATAATATTGTAAATTATTGTGTAACCTGAGAAGAAAAAATTTATCATTATTTTAATATTGTCAATTATACCTCAATGTCATGAAAGACAATTTCAAGGATGTTCTTGTAGGATGAGTAGTCATTAGTCCTTTGAAAAACTCGAACCACTCTTAACTTGAGCATTGGGCTGTTAGTCCTTGTTACTTGCTTGATGTTTCCCCAGGCTTTAGCCATTTCTCTGCTTGTATGCTTGTACGTCCAAATGGAAGTGTGAGTTTTTTGTGATACGTGATGCACGATCGGATGATCATTTTAAAGGCATGGGATAATAGTTGCTAAACCATTAGATTAATTTAAAATATGAGTTTTAATAAATTCAAACTCTTGTATGATGATAAGATAAGTGCAAATTAGTTAATCTGTGGAGATATTTCGGTGTGATAGAATCAGACTCACCGTATATATCTATACTAATACATACCATGCGATTAAAAACAGATTAATATATAAATTATTTTAATTTTAATTTAAGCAAAATTTATTCAACCATTGTTTAAAAATGTTGTTTGATTAAATGACGTAAAAAAAATAAATATGGATTGAACCATTAATAAGTGATTAAAATGTTATTTGAGATATTAATTACTAATATAAATAATGGGCGATTTTAGATAATGAGTTATCCACAGATTATTGTTCCAATATTATCTCTACACCATTAATTATTATCTCTACACCATTAAATTTAAATTCAAACTGTGATTTTCTGTCAATAAAAAACTACCACATGCGATTTTAAATCATGAGTTATCCACAGATTATTGTTCAAATATTATCTCTACATCATTAATTATGAATTCAATTTGTGTTTTTGCATAACTACCACGTGCTATTTTACATCAATAGTTATCTACAGATTACATATTAATATATAAATTATTATAATATTAACTTAACCAAAATTTATTCAACCATTGTTTAAAAATGTTGTTTGATTAAATGACGTCAAAAAATAAATAAATATGGATTGAACCTTTAATAAGTGATTAAAATCTCCACAGATCGAAGTTCGAATATTATTTCTACCCCATTAATTATGAATTCAATTTGTGATTTTCCATCAATAAAAAATTACCACGTGCGATTTTAAATCAAACTATCCGCAGATTCTTATTTGTTAGGTTAGAATTGTGGCGAGATCATATTTAACCTTTTATCATTAAGATCAGCATCTATTATTATATAACACAAATTAATATAAATATTAATCAAACAAATATTTATGAATATAATCCATTATGATAATTTATTGAAAAATCACGCAATATAATCC